CATCAGAGAGATAGCAAAACCATTAGGTGTGGCCAAATCAACTTGTACCAGAGTGATGAGAAGAGAAGAGTATGGAGAAGGAAAGGAACTGCTCATGATCCAAAGCATACCACCTCATCAGTTAAGCATGGTGATGGTAGCGTCATGGCGTGGGCATGTATGGCTGCAAATGGAATAGATTTTCTTGTATTTATTGATGATGTGACTGCTGACAAAAGCAACAGGATGAATTCTGAAGTGTTTCAGGTAATATTATCTGCTCATATTCAGCCAAATGCTTCAGACCTATTTGGACGGCGCTTCACAGTGCAGATGGACAATGACCCGTAGCATATTGCAAAAGCATGCAAAGAGTTTTTTAAGGGAAAGAAGTGGAATGTTATGCAATGGCCAAGTCAATCACCTGACCTGAATACGATGGAGCATGCATTTCACTTGATGAAAACAAAACTGAAGGGAAAATGAACCAAGAACAAGCAGGAACTGAAGACAGTTGCAGTAGAGGCCTGGCAGAGCCTAACCAGGGATGAAACCCATCATCTGGTGATGTCTGTGTGTTCCAGACTTCAGGCTGTAATTGACTGCAAAGGATTTGCAACCATGTATTAAAAAGTGAAAGTTTGATTTATGACTGTTAATCTGTCCCATTACTTTTGGTCCCTTAAAAAGTGGGAGGCATATATACAAACTGTTGTAATTCCTACACCGTTCACCTGATTTGGATGTAAATACCCTCAAATTAAAGCTGAAAGTCTGCAGTTAAAGCATCTTGTTTGTTTCATTTCAAACCTATTATGTTGGTGTATAGAGCCAAATAAATTTGAAGAGGTTCTATTTCAACTGTCAAAAGTAAAGGCAAATAAGTCAATGGGACCTGATGGAATACTCCCAAAGCTATTAAAAGAGCTTAGTGGTGTACTAGCAAAACCATTCACAGATTTATTTAACCAATCATTGTTAACAGGAGTAGTCCCAGAAGATTGGAAGTTAGCGAATGTTGTGCCCATTCACAAGAAAGGTAAAAGGGAGGAGTCGGGCAACTATAGGCCAGTAAGCCTTACTTCAGTAGTGGGGAAAGTGATGGAAACCATATCAAAGGATAGGATTGTTGAACATCTAAAAACACATATATTTCAAGATCAGAGACAACATGGGTTTATTTCAGGGAGATCATGCCAAACTAATCTTATTGATTTTTTGATTGGGTGTGACAAATTCCTCTGTAAAACTAATATTGCTGGTTCATCTAGTTTGCCTCCCCTTCATGGAATTGCCAGTCCATATACCCCTATTTGTCTTTTTGACTTTTTACCGAATGAACTTACCGAATGGACGGCCACCCAGAAGAGAAGTGTGCTGCTGGTTAACCTCTTGATCCCAATTAGAACGTTGTGGTTAACCGCAGACACCTCTTAATTATCACTGAATGCAGGGTGGTCTTCGTTCGTATGCTGACCACGAGGCGGCGGCCATTTTAAACCATGCGAAAGACCAGCGGTGTTTGGCTCAGATTGTATGGAACTAAAAATGGACACTTTTTCTGCCGAACACCGCTGAAACTACAGACCACCCTTCTCATTCGTCAAGGCATGTGAACACCGGCCCGTTCGGGAGTTTGGATTATACGAATGGACTTAACCCAGATAGCCTTCTCATGGAGTCAAACGCATACTGAAAGACTGTAAAAGACTTTGACTCCATGGCGATTGAACTGTGCGTATGGGATCTGAGCGCTATTCGCTAAGAATATGCACTCAGATCCAGGCTAAAGGAAAGTTTAAAGGATCTTAACATGTATAGCTTGGAGGAAAGACGAGACGGGGGATATGATAGAAACATTTAAATATATAAAAGGAATCAACACAGTAAAGGAGGAGACTATATTTAAAAGAAGAAAAACTACCACAACAAGAGGACATAGTCTTAAATTAAAGGGACAAAGGTTTAAAAATAATATCAGGAAGTATTACTTTACTGAGAGGGTAGTGGATGCATGGATTAGCCTTCCAGCTGAAGTGGTAGAGGTTAACACAGTAAAGGAGTTTAAGCATGCGTGGGATAGGCATAAGGCTATCCTAACTATAAGATAAGGCCATGGACTAATGAAAGTATTTAGAAAATTTGGCAGACTAGATGGGCCGAATGGTTCTTATCTGCCGTCACATTCTATGTTTCTATGTTTCTATGTAATTGTGTCGATGTCCCAATATTTATGGACCTGACTGTATATGTAAAAATGCCATTCCCTCCCCCCCCCCACCACAAACATTGACATATATTAGTGAAAAAATGGTGACAAGTTAAGGCACAATATACACCATATAAGATACCCTGGGGTGTCTGCTTTATCAAGTGAAAGCCCTTTGTGTGGTTATTTGAACAGTCACACTGCAATAATACCCTAAAATGAGACAAAATCCATCTACAAAAATTCTAACTATAGAAACTGAAATAGCCTTGACTATTATATGGCAATGTAGCTTTACAGAAAAGTGCCAAAGACATACAATTGGGGTATCGATATAATTAGCAGATGTAGCTAAACACTATATGGGGTTCTGTGCAGGAATAGCACAAACCAGCTTTACGAAATACACATTACAAAAACATTGTTATATGTGTACATGCCAAAATAAAGAAAAAACATAATTTTACTCCAATATTTAGCAGAGATTGGCAATGAAATGGTTACGTAAAAAGTTTCAAACTAACCTTATGTAAATAGCCTTTGATGTCTACGTTATATAAATATATACTTTTGTGTGACAATGTTGTTTTCTGTGATGGCTACTAAACCTACAAGACAAACATCCCAAATTCTAAAATTGTTGCAAATTGAAATGTTATTTTAGTCCTTGTATTTTGTGACCTGTAGCTTTCAAAATAAGCTGAAATTCTATACATATGATGTACTTTATAAATCAAGACACATAAATGAATTTATTTTGAATTACTTTTTTTAAGCTGGACATATTATGCACACGCTATTATTGCCAAAATTGTGAAGAAATTTATTTTTTTTGTTTGTTTTTTTATTTTTTTTGTCATTTTTATATAATTAATAAGAATGTATCTATGTATATGTGACATCAAATTAAAGCCCTGTTTGCCCTCTAAAAAAACGATGTATAAGATGTGTTGGTGGAATAAATGACAGAGATGTAAATTGCGTTTGAATACAAACAGCTAAGAAAATGGCCTTTGTCCTTAAGCGTAAGACAAGCTTCTGAAGCTGTGTCCTTAAGGGGTTAATAGTGTAAAGAGTGATCTGTACACAATATTTGTTGCCTAATTAACACTATTTCTAGGGCTTCTATGCTTTTTAACATTCAAACATATATATTAAACCAAACTTGGCTTAATATAAATGCAGCAGGTGGTCCTGATTTGGCAGAGGGGAGAGAGCTGCAGGTAAAAAGATTAAAATATAGTGTCTCCAGTAACAGTACCTGCACGGGTAGTCACTGCTACTCCAACATGTTTTACTCATTGCTGCTCACTGAGTGACTGGCATCCAGAAAGAAAGCAATCCATAAACGTCACAGGCTAGTGGGTTTAGTGTGTATTTAATATAGGATCATTATAGTATTTTGGACATTTATTTGAATTGGAAGGCCCAATTTCAAATTGGAGAACTGAGGTCAGACAAACCCTGTGAATTATTTTAAGCAGAATATCAAAAAATGAGGCTGCTAGGAGGAATGTATTCTTTGTTACCGTGGTATATATATATATATATATCTATGCTGCCTCCCCTGGAAAACGCATTAACTCCTTTGGCTTCCAATATCATTTCTATGCGGATGACATGCAAATCTACCTGTTCTCTCCTGTTCTCTCTCCATCCCTCTTGACTAGTGTCACTGACTGCCTCTCTGCTATTTCTTACTGGATGGCTGCCCACTTCCTTAACCCCTTAAGGACCAAACTTCTGGAATAAAAGGGAATCATGACGTCACACATGTCATGTGTCCTTAAGGGGTTAAACTCAACTTGACCAAAACTGAAATACTAGTCTTTCCTCCATCAAGTGTTGCTACTCCTGTGTCTGTCTCCCTCCAAGTCAACAGTGCTAACATCAGCTCCACCACGCAGACTTGCTGCATAGGTGTTCTCTTTGACTCCGACCTCTTCTTCACGCCTCATGTTCAGTCTATCGCCAATTCATGTTGTTTCCATCTCAAAAACATTGCACGCATCCAACCCAACGCCAGATGCGACTAAGGTGCTGGTCCATTCCATTGTCCTTTCTTGCCTTGACTACTGTAATCCACTTTTCAGTGGTCTTACGTGCTCCCAACTTGCACTGTTACAGTCCATAATGAATGTGGCAACGAGGCTCATCTTCCTGTCCGCCCGCACCTCCCATGCCTCACCTTTCTGTCAGTCCCTACATTGGCTTTCTGTAAGATTTAGGGCTCAATTCTGGTTCTTGCTTTCAAATCTCTACATAATGCTGCTCCCACCTATCTATCCCTACTAATACACAAGTATGTCCCGTCTAGGCCCTTATGCTCTGCTGAAGACTTTCATCTATCTTCTGTCTGTACTCCCACCTCTAATGCTCGCCTTCAGGACTTCTCCAGGGCTGCTCACTTCACTTCTCTGTTAGATGCTCACCCAGTCTACACTCCTTCAAAAAATCATTAAAAACCCACTTCTTCATAAAAGCATATCAATTAAACTGTTAATAGCTCCCGACTGATTCCTCTCTTGCAACTGTCACTAGTCTAATACTATCCTTACCTTTTTGTGTCATTTTACCCCACTCCCTCTAGCATGTAAGCTCATTGAGCAGGGCCCTCAACCCCTCTGTTCCTGTGTGTCCAACTTGTCTGGTTACAACTACATGTCTGTTCGTCCACCAAATTAATAATAATAATTTAAATGTAAATGTGGTAAATGTGGTAAATATAATGTACTGTTTGAATTGTTTAAATAAATTTTTATGTTATTTAAAGTAAATAAATATTTGCAGTTTGATCTAGTTTGATCTTTATTTTTCACTTTTTCTCTTCAAAATAAATTGAATTATTGCTTCTTTAAACTGCTCATTTCTCAGACTGTATATAATGGGGTTTAATAAAGGGGCTGCTATAGTATAAAGCACAGAAATCAGTTTTTGCAAACCCAAATATTCTTCTTTTGGTGGGACCACATAATTAAATACTATTGTCCCGTAATATAGACATACGATGGTCAGGTGGGAGCTGCAGGTAGAGAAGGCTTTCTGTTTCCCGGTGGTGGTAGAGATCCGGATAATTACAAGAAAGATATTGATATATGTCACAGTTATAAAAAGTATTGGAACAAATGTAACTGGAACAGACATAACAATGATTACTATTTCATTAGCTAATGAACCAGAACAAGAAACTCTGAGAACTGGAATCAGGTCACAGAAAAAATGATTAATAACTTTTAACCCACAAAATGTAATTTGGTTTAAAATAATAATTTGTGGTAATGCAGCTAGTATTCCAAATCCCCAAGATGAAGCTACAAGAGAACCACAAAGTTTCAGGTCCATGACAGAGGAATATCTCAGTGGGTTACAGATGGCCAAATATCGATCGTAGGACATTACAGTAAGAAGTAAGCACTCAGTAACGGTTGATTGGGAAAAAAAGTAAATTTGAGTGAAACAGCCAGCAAAGGATATGGTACTTCCTTCTTTTAATATAACATAAAGCAGTTCAGGAACAATGTTTGTGATGATGATCATGTCATTGAAAGACAGATGGCTGAGGAAGAAATACATAGGAGAGACAATGTATCTACACATAGATACTATCGAGATAACCATTATATTTGCAGATAATGTCACAAGATAAATTATCATGAAAAGAATAAAGAGTAAAATTTTAATATTTTGGATGTTTACAAATCCGATTATCAAGAACTCCTCTATATTTGACTTGTTCGTAAAATTCTCCTACATTCACATAAACAATATATCAGTGACATGCAGGTAGCACAAATATAGACAGATAATTTCAATAAATCAGATGTGGATAATAGTCTATTAATTACATTCATAACTGTAAAGGAACACTATAGGGTCAGGAGTACATACATATATTCTTGACCCTATATTGTTAAAAACACTATCTAGCCCCCCTGGCCCCCCTCTTTCCCCTAAACATAATAAAATCTTACCTTTATTCCAGTCTGCTGGTGCTGGCTCTGCCCCCACCCCGTTCCATTGGCTGATAAAATCAGAAATGATGATCTCACCAATCACAGTGCTTTCCTGTAGAAAAGCATTGGATTTGCAGAGATTGTCCAATTCTGATGATCTCAGACAAGGAGGGGGGGTGGGGCAGAGCCAAACACCACCCTGGCCACTCGGCATCTCCTCATTAATGCATCTCTGTGAGGAAAGAGTATCTCCATACAGAGGGTGGAAACACTGAATGTCAGTCACACTGTGCAGCGCTGCCCCAGGAAGCACCTCTAGCAGCCATCTGAGGACTGGCCACTGGATGTATAATGTAAACACTGCATTTTCTCTAAAAACAAATACAGTGTTTACTGCAAAAAGACTTCAGTGACTGACTATACACACCAGAACAAATAAAATAAGCGTTATACTTTGCATTAAGTTGTAGTAGTTCTGGTGACTATAGTGCCCCTGTAATCACTGAGAGAATGGCTCAATGATCACACTTCTATTAAACTCACATACAAATAGTTACCAATTGATCCTACTACTACCATGTTCTTTGCAAATATAATAAAATTACAATTATTTAGCTTGCGTTTAAATTAGGTATTTAACTTTAGGACAACCATTAAATGGAAACTCTTAGCACCATAACCATGTTATTTCACAAAGACATTCTTCCTGTTGCCTTTCTTTGTCAAAATGTTTGATTTTGGATATTTTCTTTGTGTAGGACCACCTCTCTGTGCTGTCACTCAGTCAACTGGATTACTATTTCCCTGTATGGTCATGTCAGTTTTGTGCAACCTTTGTGTCTTGTGTCTGCACACACAGCATGCCAACCCCAGAGACTTTGTACAGGCTGACAGGGTTGAGTGAGTTACACAAACAACGTCTTTCTAACTCTCCAATAAAGAAAAAGCATGATTTGGCTCTGTTTTTTTACCTCTGCCCTTCCTAGGGCAAAACACACAAGCGATTCTGCTGATAATGTAGGTCCGATCAGGCAGAAGATTTACTGTAGCTCGAATTGCTGAAAAACTTAATTCTGGCCATGATAACCATAATAGAAAAGTGTCAGAACACAGTGCATAACAGTTGTATTTATCTCATCTTTATATTGATCAATTATCTACAATATGCACATTCCAAAACACATAGAAAATGTTAAGAAATCTACGTATGTCAATGAATATTTGTTTTTTTTTGTCCACTATTAAGTAAGAAAGACAGAGATTAGCGAATGCCCTTTCTAACTAGACATGTTTATGCTATCCTGGTGCTCTCAAAGTTTCTCATTCCACCCATATGACTTCATTTGCAAAGAATATGTTGCTTTATATAAGCTAATACTTTATCATAAATGCTTGTGTACTATTAATCATGAAATAAATCATGAAAGTATATTACCATGTCTTTGATGCTCTCGATATGTTCTCCCATTGGTGAAGTTTCTTCAAAAACACTATATATTCACTTTTATGTACAAGGTCATTGAAATTGTCAAATGACATTCCCACCACACAGACTGACAAGGAGATGTGTCCAGATCAGTAACAGTCTGCCTGTTATATATCTACAGCAGAACATGTGGATCCCCAGGAGGTCTCCAAGCTGTAACAGAAGACTATCAAATAATTATCTTCATGGGAATTTACAAGAATTGTTTTCACAAATGCATCAGGGATCTTCCCTAGAGCAAGAATTACTGTGAATTGAAAAGGGGATTTCGTATTAAAGTCCAAAACAACTAAAAGATTCTTAAAATTAACTATTTTTCTTTGTCTTCTACTTTTCTACTTCAGCTGTTATGGGCTAAATTGTAAAAATCTATTATTTTTTTAACAGATCCATGTTAAATGTAATGTAATATCTGTTTTTAATATATCTTTGAAAGGATTTAACATCTAAGTAACTTAAATGCATATATTATTATTATTATTATGTTTATATAGCGCCAACAAATTCACTAACGCTTTAAATTGGGTGGACTAACAAACATGTAATTGTAACCAGACAAGTTTGACACACAGTAACAGAGGGGTTGAGGGCCCTGCTCAGTGAGTTTGCATGTTAGAGGGAGTGGGGTATAGTGACACAGTAACAGAGGGATTGAGGGCCCTGCTCAGTGAGTTTACATGTTAGAGGGAGTGGGGTAAAGTGACACAAAAGGTAAGGGAAGTATTAGGGAAGTAGATTGGTAGAATAGTATTCAATGAAGACTTAGGTTGGGTTTTTTTTTTGGAGCCATTAACAGTTTAATTGATATGATTTTGCGAAAAAGTGAGCTTTTATATTATATCTTTTTATATTAAAATGTGTTTATTAAATGTGTTGAATGGCCCAGTAATATCTTATGTTAATGGTTAATCTGGATTTAATTAAAATAACTTGATTAAATATTAATGATGACTTAAGTCCGTTTAACTTGTCATGTCACGTGTTACTCAGTAGATCACATTTACTGAAATAAAAATTCATGATCTTTTTTCATTTTATTTTGTTTAAATTTATTCTGTGCAAAGAGCTTGAGGTGTATAGCTGCTTAGAGTGGAGCTTTAAATTATTAAAATAAAAATTCTAATGAAATTTAAAAATAACCCTACAATCCCATGCAATGAGATGATATACCATTAGGAGGGGGAGTTCTGGAGAAGTCCTGCAGGTAAGATGTTGGTATAAGAATGGAATAGTAACAGGTCAATGGTGGAGCGAAGAGGCCGGGCTGGAACATATCTGCTGATGAGGTTGGAAGTGTAAGCAGGAGCACAGTTATGGAGAGCTTTGAAGTTGAGTATGAAAACTTTGAACCAAATCCTAAACGAAACAGGACAGAGTGATGAGGTTGAGTAAATAATGGAGGCCAAGGTTGCAAAGAATGAGCAGATCAAGCTCAAGCAGGCACTGCAGAGGGATGTCCTGGAGGCATTGTTGAGTAAGCACAGGGGGGTAGAGAGTTGTCAGCACGCTATGCACATAATTAATGACACTGCTGGAAGTGGACTTACACCTCCAGCAGTAGAATCTGTATTTCTGTATCTCTGTATGTGCAGTGTTCCAGCAAGTGGTCATGGTGCTATGAGTAATCGTTTAAGTATTTATGGTGATTGGTGGTAAATTGGTATTAGTAACAACTGATATGTGCTGCACAATTAACATTTTTAACTAAAACGTAGTGCATTCCACTAACAAAGACCATAAGAATAATTTTTTTTCAAACCGTCCTTTTGCACACTAGTGTGTGTTCTACTGTTTGGGTAAGTGATACTATTGAGAGAACCATCTCTTTTCCCTGCACTAATAATTTGTCTTAAACATTTTCATTTGATGTTCTATTTTGTTTTAAACCTGAATTAAAGATTTCACAATGGACATCTGTTGTTGTTCACGGTTTTGGATTCACTAGTTAACAAAATTCAAAGGGTTTCACAATAACTGCTGTGTTAAACTTTCAGAAGCACCAAAATGGCTACCAGTCATGTGTCCTGGTGTAACCTAGTTACATTTATTTATTTATAAAATATTTTACCAGGAAAGATATATTGAGATTTCTCTCGTTTTCAAGTATGTCCTGGGTCCACAAAACATTGCATTATTATTATGTTTATAGAGCGCCAACAAATTCACTAACGCTTTAAATTGGGTGGACTAACAAACATGTAACATGTCATTAACAATAGACATTACCTAGTTGAATTAACAATATAGTTAATGGAAGACCAGATATATTGAAAATCATTAAAAACCAACCCTTTAATTTTGTACAGCTATAATTTAGATTATTAACTGCGTATGGTATTTTGGCAGAGATATATCCTAACACTTAATGACCAAATGACTGTCAGTCAGAGTGCAGAAAATTATAATGTTTAATAACAAGATGTTAGAGAAAATATAACAAAAATCACTATGCATATTCAAGCTAAACAATTGCAATACTAACTAGACAGTTATATTTTGCTGTACTAATCATATATTTCCCATGATTGCAGTTAAAACATATCTAAGGCTATCCAAATCGTATTAATCTAAACACAAGTATAAAACATATAAAGAAAATATACAGTTTTATACTTAATATCACAGGA